ATATTATTTATTGCTTAGATGGCCATTATCGATGAAGTGATTCAGCCAATATGAGTTTTCTATGAATTCTTCCCAACCATCCGAAATGTGAAATTTCTTCAGGTTTTAAAATAACACAGTCACCATTTACTGTTATTCGATTGTTTTATTGTTGTGTTTAGAATTATATTATATTTTGATCGGACTCATCAGTAATTCGTGTTGTGACGAAATCAGAATTTTCATGAAATTGCTCACAAATTAACTGTTTTTCTCCTTATTTTTGCTAAACATCATTCTTAGAACGAAGAGTAAAAATATTCCAAGTATAGTAATATAAGTCTTATGGTGTTAACGAAATCGTACGTCGTCATTAGTTTAGTTGTATACTTGTATGTGTTTGAATCTGTCTGATTTGGCTGTACTGAAGCGTACGCAGTTTATAATTGTTATTATTAAATCTTCTTAAATTCTTACACGTACCGAATTATTTTATTATTACATTTGTTAGGTAGTGAGGACAGATAAAACTATATCATTAAGTGTTGTACGATCTGTTGATACGTTTGAAGATATTGTTTGAAAATTACGACGATGTAATCCATTGGGATTATTGGTTTGGGTAATATTGTGTCATGGTTGCACATCAAATTGGCCATTTTTATTGCTATTATTTTTCTATCTTTAAACAATAACGGTCGACAGGCTTCTAACGTCAAAATATCGATATGTAACAGTGACAATAATCTCTGGCTGGTGGCGGTAGTTACGTTCAACGGACCATACTCATCTAGAGACCGTTGCGCAATCATCGTCGGGACCAGATTGATGTAGAAATCATGGGTGAAAGTAGCGTAATTTATCTTTTCTTGATTTTCCGGTAATCTGTCAAGGTTACTAGCTGGACATTAAATATATATATATTATTATGATATACACATATACAATATAACATAATAAATAAATAATGATGAAGTGACACAAAACGGAAACGATAGACATGTCTGACTTTATTATTGTTGCAAAACATGATGCGATTATGAAGGTATATCTTATTTCAGCATAGAAGTAAAATATAAAAGAAAAATCATGACATCCACGACGTTTTTAAAAATGTTGAAATAGATGTATAGTAAGCTCTGCTTAATTAATAGGTTTGTTTCTGGTGTTTAAATAAAAGATATTTTATACTTGGAATATTGGGATTAATTTGTAGTTTCAAATATTTCAGTTGTCTAAATATAAGATTTTTATAAAATTATTGTAAATATTTAAAACTCTGTAATTATATTAAGTTTTATTTATTTATACGTATTATATTATATAGTTAATGTTAAAAGAGTATCTTAAGTAGTTATTTATATTGTACTTGAATCCAATATAATGATTACATGTTGATATTATTATAATGTTGTATGTAGTAATGTTTAAAATTTAAGAATTCAGTCAACTTAATAAAGTTGCAATATTATTGACAATTATATTTACAGAAATAATATTATGAACATAATTATTTATTTTAATTAAATAGTTTAGTTTTGAATCATTCGAATTAATTAATTTTTGATTGATACTGGACGTATAAAATAAAATACTGAAATACATCGCATGATACCAATTAATATGTAAAATAATGAATATATTATGAAGGTAGAATACAGTTTAGTTTAATGATACCTATAGAAAATAATATATTTATAAGGAAAGTGTAAATCAATGACGAATATAGATTTAACAGAATAATAAAATAATAATAACTACAGACGATAGAACCATAGCTTTTATTTTTATAAGTCTATTATTAGCACAATAACAACAAATTTTAAAATACAAAATGTATATTTAAATTTGTATATTGTGCATGAATGAAAAGAAAATTACTATGTTCTGAAATTAAGTCGGATTATACTTATATGATTTATACGATTTTGAATTATTCTAATATTATTAATCAATAATTATTCGAGTATTGGTATAAATTATGTATAAATTAACTTTTTACATTTCTAATAGCTTAATGAAACAAAACAAACTAAAAATTAAAATATATGAATAAATGTATATTCAATTGTAAACAAATATTGTGAGTTAACATTTCAGAAAAGTTTAAATTGAGAAAATATAAATATGGCTAAATATCTTAAAATATTTTTGTTTAAATTTTGAATAATCATCCAAAGTTCGTAATTTATGTGGAATTTGAGAATTTAAATCATTGTCTTTGCTATGGTAATAGTTAGAGGATTTAAAAGGTTGAATAATATTATGAAATGTATTCTATAAATAAAACTATAATAATTATTGATTCAATTTAAATTAATTTATTTAATTATTTAAAATATGAAATATATTAATCAAATATTCTTTATTTTTAAATCTAACGTTGCCCAGAATTTTTACATTTTAGTTATAAAGATTACAATATTAATCAGGATCTAAGGAGAAAATATAGCAAATTGGATATGTTGATATTTTTCTTTTAGTGATTTTGTAACAAATTAAAATAAATTACACAGCTAATAATATTAATATTTGTAATTTAATCATTGCTGGGTTGATTTTAATTGGCGGTGGCAATACTACAACTGTATAAAAGTTAAATGTAAATATATATCAAAAGACATGGTTACATTTATAAGTCAATAAAGTTATATTAAAATATAATGTCGAAACTGCAAAGCTTTAGATTTGATAGATTGAAATCTAAAACGAAGTTTGAACCACGAACAGTTTATTTTGTGTTTTAACTTTTGTCTAAAGTCAATCTCAATATTTGTTTTTTAATAGAAATATCAATAAACGTAAAAATATTTTTTTAAATTCAATTAAAAATTAAAAATTTTTATTATTCCATAAAACGTTTTTAAGATATTAAAAATACCTCTGTTAAAACATAGTTAAATAATTGATGAATTAAATTCGTTTTCAATACAAAAATTAAAAAACTTTTCATTCAAAGTCGTATGGTTTTAAAATACTATGCTTTGTTATTTTGATCTAAGGGTCCCCTTTTAATATTTATTTTAATTTAAAATTATGATAATTGATAAATTCTTTATTTATAAATAAAAATTTAGGAATGATTAATATAATTAATTATTAATGATTATATGTCGATTGAGTGGTGTAATGGAATCAACTTCCATCGGACAAAACTTATAAGGCCTATAACTGCCTATACTATAGGCAATACAAACTACATACGTACATATTTAATTATCTATGTAGTAAAATAAATTAATTAAAATCTTATTCTTAAGCTTTAAATATTATCGGTTCAATCAAAAGAGATCGATCGTAAGACTAATGGAGCTAATATATTACTTGCTAGTACTAATAAATTTAAAAGTCAGTTTATGATCTATAAATTATATTTATTTTTTTTACATAATTATATAATTGTATTGCTTATTAATAAATTGTATATGACTACAGTCTATAAGTTAGTATACATTTATAAGAATATATTGATTTAGGCGGATAAGTTTGGAATTTTATTTAGTATTTTGATTGATAAATGGTGGGAATATTATTGGAAAATGTTGAGTTTTAATTTACTATTCAATGAAAGTAGAGTTTGGTAATTTGAATATTGACCTTCACTTTGTATAATACGGAACGCGAAATCGAAAACAACAGAAAAATATTATGTAACAACTATTATATTTTCATTTAAAGCCTTTTGATTATTGTATTACTAAATTATGACATAATCACATGAAAAATTTTGTTTCATATTTATATATATATACAGTATGCGTTATTGTCGAAATGGCACTGACTTTTGTCAATCGTCAGTTTTTATCATGTTTTTTATTAACACTTTGCTATTCTTTAAATCATATAATCAGAAGTAAATAGATGTATACCAAGATATAACATCAAAATATTTACTTATTAAAAAAATTTGTTCACAGAACAAAAAAAAAAAATTAAATAAAAATCCTTTGATCTAATACAATTAAACATAAATAATGCATAGATAATGTGCATAATTTATACAAATTTGGCTTTAATACGTATTGTTATTTATTTGACATTGCGGATATTTGTTATTGTTCACATTTTTGTAAAATTAATTCATTGTTCACTAATGAATATAAAAATTATTTTTTATTTTAATATAAAAATCCTATATTTTTATTTAACTCAAATTTTTTTTAATAATGCTATGATCAAGTATTCTATATAACAATGATATCTACTGAAAATGCATTTATAAATATCTGATGTTTAACATAGAGATGAATTCAAAATGTTTAGATCATAAATAACGATAAAAATTATAAAATTACCTAGGTATGGTTTATAAATGTATAGCTTTAACAATTTGAACTACGAGTTTCAAGTTTTATTAATACAAATGTAATGAGGATTTTCCTAAGCATTTTTAATTAATTCACAAGCTAAGTTTAATTTTATATAATTCGAAGAAATGAAGTTTATTTGTTTCTTATTCATCTATTTGTATGCGATATTTATTTCGATTCATTTAATAGTAAGTTATTGCATCTGTATTTATTTTAATTCAACTAAAAATTATTATATTATATTCATATTTTATCTAGAATTCGATATCGGGTTTATCGTCGCTGAAACGTGAAGTACGCTTTACTGTATTTGAAGTTATTAGTGTAAACAAAACGATTGCAACGGTTCAGGAAGCAACATATAAACAGTTCTATGATAAACAATCGATATTTGTTCATGTGAACATTCACGAAAGTATTTCTCAATTGGAGGCAAGTAAATATAATTTTAACTTTTAAAATTGAAAAAATATAATAATCTATTTTAACATACTATCAGTCCAATCTGTTCTATTTCTATAAATGTAAGGGCGTGTGTTATTTAATTTTTTTATTCCTTAATTATTGAGTCACTTATATAGTGTTACTTGGTATTTAAGCAATATAATAATACGGGTTTTTATATTGATTAAGAAGTGAGTTATTAAACTCAACAAAACATGATAGGTGTAATAAACTTTAATTATTTGATTTTCGATTTCCACATGAATATAATTTATAGTAACGTAAAGATAATTACAGACTTATATCAAGTGGTATAGCAATCATGAAAATAGTTAATAAATAATAACTTTACCTATGCGTATTAGTCCTTTACTACTTTATCATATTCAAATTACAAATATATATTAAGTATCTTGCCCTTTCCTGCGTCTAGTGTCACTCACCTTGGAGAAGATAAATAGTGTATCTTTATCAAAAATTTTTTTTATCGTTGTTGTTGTTTTTTTTTTTAATTCAAGAATTATCAAAGCATTCATATTGCAACTTAATTTTGTAAGCTGTACAGATGACTACAAACGGTTTATAATTATTGTTTTAAGTTAAAGTTGTAATAAGTATATAGATGGTGGAGTAATTCAGATAGATGAGTTATTCTAACCACTTTACAGAGTCAAAAATAACCATGAGAAATATTGTTGTTCAATGTTCATAATAAGTATTAATATTTTATTATTCATAGAAATGGGGAGAATTATATTAATAATTTTTTCTAAAATTGTTTATTAATTGTGTTTATATTATGTCATTTAATTTTTTTTTTTTTAATTCTAGGCAAGTTTTAGTGTGTCCAAATGTAAAATGCATTACATCGATTGTGTTAATGTTGTATCGTATGAGATTCATGATGTTTGTCAAAAAATTAATTATCTTTTTCAATTTACTAACACTAAAACATCAAACACCAATTTGGTAAAATGCCCTATAGTTGTAAGTGTAATTTAAAATTAATTCCATTCAGGTTGTTTTAAAAATAAATTTATTTTAATTTATAATAGATACTTAATTTATTGGGATTATATTATTAATTTTTTTTATAATATAGATAGACTATATTTTATCTTTATTGTATCTATCTCAAATCTTTGTCTTAATGGAGAAATTTAATAATTAATATGGTGCGGTAAAAAAGTATCTATTTTGTATTGTTTTTTTCATGTCATATAAATATAATTTTGGATTAAGATAATATTGTGTATTATATATGAACCATATCTATATGGCACTACATATACCTACATTAGTTTACAAAATAATTTCATTGTGAAAAATAATATTTAAAACTTATATCAGTTTTTGCGTTTATAATTTTAAATATTTGTAAATTTCAATTACATAATATTTCAGTATTGAAAATACATCTTTTACAAAATTTGAATAATATGGATTAAACTTCATTTATTTTTAATTTGTAGGGTGAATACGACTTCAAGAATATTACATTTGATGCTGAAAAATTTGGATCCGTGTTTAGTTTTCCAACAGAAAGATGGTGGGAAATTTATTGGAAATACAAAATTTTTCTTTTTACTGACGGTAAAAAAGAAATTGCTCGTATAATTGTACATTTTTACTTTATAGAATTTCGAAGCCGAAATAATAATAAAAAAATCTTGTAATACTAAATAGTTTTTTTTAGAATTAGGCAATCAAAAATTTATAAAAAAAACTTTATTTCAATAAAAAATTTCTACATGGTATTATTATTATATTATACTTAAGTGTTATGATTAAAATACATGTATTACTATAAATGTAACTGTATTATCATTATTCTTTTTATTTATGCACTGCTGTCGTTTATGGAATTCAAATATTTATTTATAATATTTTAGTTGGAAAATAAAATATTATTGATTAAGTATTGTATTTTTGGCATTTGTGTAATTTTATTGAAGAATAACTATTTCCATTTTTTATTTTTATTTACTAAAACCAATAATATATATTATATAACTTATATCGTGAGTTAGTTATATGTATATGTTTATGAACTATTAATTACTTTCATTCTAATATTAGCTAATAGCTTTCATATAATATTTGTTGTTATGTTGTATTATTTGAAATTAGCTCGAGCACTAACTTGTGCTTGTCTTTGATTGTTGGAGTTGCAAAAACGTTAGGAAAACTGTCGCGGCATTTAAGATCAAAATCACTTGGTTCGGTCAAAAAAATAATATAAATAATACGACTGATACTAACTTATTCTTAGAAGATAAAGCATATTATGATATAGTACCTTACTTATAAATCTTGTAGCACGAACCCTCTCTGTCGACCCAGAGGACGTCGACCGGCTCGGTTACATTCAATAATAATAAAAATATTTATTCGTTTAATTACCGTTCAACCACACAATGCACCCCCACACCATGCACCTGCATATATATATGTGTCGAGAAGAGGTGACCGCTAATACATTAAATGATATATAAAAAAATAAATAACACAATTATATATATATTTATGACGTGTCAATCACACCGCCGTACTATTTTGAATATTAAAAACACGTAATAAATAATGAGAATAATATTAATAATAAGTGGACTTCTCCACACTAATAATATAATATATATAATTTTAATAGAATAATATAAGTTTATAATAATATAATAATCAAGCCGGATCGGCGGTAACACAAAAGTTACAAATAATAATAAAAGATAATACGACGGTGATAGCACCGAGACGTATATCACCGTTATCACGGAAAGGTCTTGCGACGGAGTTTTTTGACCTGTCCCACGACATCAAATGTTATCGGCGCTGAGGGCGACGCGACAACCGATCGAAGATGGACGAGTGACGTGCAAACTGGTCCACCAAACACGTGGTTTATATATATATATATATATATGTTCGTGACGCACGACTCACATAAAAAAAAATCGACGGCACCACCGAAGACGGGTGTCAGGACATCAGAACACTCCCGTGCACCAATTTACGTACTGAAAAGGTCTCGTAATACGGTATAACGCGAAACAACAAGAAATTGGTCACACGTGACACAATGGGCGGCAGAACTTTCGAAAAAATGGCCTTTGGCAACACCAAAAAGGCATAGATCGCATTTGGCACAACGGCACAGCAGAGTAGGCACATACGCAACAACTGAACGGTACGGCGGGGCGACTCGCTGGACAAGCGATAATCGCACGGACTTTGTCCGCGATCGCCAATGATAGTTGCTAATGAGGGAAGATAAATTCGATGACCTTTTATATATATATATAGATATCCGACAAATCTTAGTGATCATTCTTCTGGAATATAACTTGTTGATTCTGCAATGATAATCATAATTATTAGGTATTTAATGCTTTAAAGAAATATATATAAATATATTAAAATGAGTATTTATAACATTAATACATATTATAAATATTTGGTGTTATTTAGATAATATTAAAAAAAATGAAAAAATTTAATATTTAAATATTTTGAAGAAGTAATTCAAATGTTTGAAGGTTTTTTGAAATTATTTTAATTTATTGAAGTAACATTTTAAATATGGTATAGATTTCAGTTAATGAAGTGACAAGTGACCTAAGAAGTAAGTTTTGGTTATTTGCTTTATATTATACGTTGTCTTTTGTATTAAAAATTGCTTACACTATTAACCAATAAAAATAATTACATGAAAATTCACATTCCATTATCGCCAATAATTGCCATAGATTCTTATTTTTAATATTTTCGCTAAGAAAAATTAACAAAATTATTCTGAAGGGAAGAAAGCTAATCACTCTGTCATCCACCTTTCAAAACCATAACTGTTGTTGTTTTTGATATTTTATGCATAAAAAAAAATATTTAAAATAATTATTCTTCGATAATATTATATATATATAATTTATATATTAAAAAAATAATATATTTTGGCATTCCATCCCACGAATAGTTTATTGTGTTTTAACTTTTGTCTAGTCAATCTCAATATTTGTTTTAATAGAAATATCAATAAACGTAAAATATTTTAAATTCAATTAAATTAAAAATTTTTATTATTCCATAAAACGTTTTTAAGATATTAAAAATATATATTAAACATAGTTAAATAATTGATTAAATTCGTTTTCAATACAAAATTAAAAACTTTCATTCAAAGTCATAATAGTTTTAAAATACTATGCTTTGATATTTTGATCTAAGGGTCCCCTTTAATATTTATTTTAATTTAAAATTATGATAATTGATAAATTCTTTATTTATAAATAAAAATTTGGAATGATTAATATAATTAATTATTAATGATTATATGTCGATTGAGTGGTGTAATGGAATCAACTTCCATCGGACAAAACTTATAAGACCTATACTTGCCTATACCATAGGCAATACAAACTATACTTATATTTAATTATCTATGTAGTAAAATAAATTAATTAAATCTTATTCTTATGCTTTAAATATTATCAGTTCAATCAAAGATCGTAGACTAATGGAGCTAATATATTACTTGCTAGTACTAATAAATTTAAAGTCAGTTATGATCTATAAATTATATTTATTTTTACATAATTATATAATTGTATTGCTTATTAATAAATTGTATATGACTACAGTCTATAAGTTAGTATACATTTATAAGAATATATTGATTTAGACGGATAAGTTTAGATTTTATTTAATTATTTTGATTGATAAATAGTGGAATATTATTGGAAAATGTTAGTTTTAATTACTATTCAATGAAAGTAAGTTTGGTAATTTGAATATTGACCTTACTTTGTATAACACGGAAAGTGAAATCAAAACAACAGAAAATATTATGTAACAACACTAATATATTTCATTTAAACCTTTTGATTATTGTATTACTAAGGTATGACATAATCACATGAAAAGTACATTTCATATTTATATATATATACAATATGCGTTATTGTCAAATACTTTAAACTTTTAGTAATCGTCAGTTTACCATGTTTTTATTAACACTTTTGCTATTCTTCCGTCTTATAATCAGAAATAAATAGATGTATACAGATATAACATCAAAATATTTACTTATTAAAAATTTGTTACAAGAACAAAAATAAGTCACAAATAAAAATCCTTTGATCTAATACAATTAATCATAAATAATGCATAGATAATGTGCATAATTTATACCATTGGCTTTTAATACGTATTGTTATTTATTTGACATTGCGGATATTTGTTATTGTTCACATTTTGTAAATTAATTCATTGTTCATAATGAATATAAGTATTTTTGACTTTAATATAAAATCCTGTATTTTATTTAACTCCAAATTTTTAATAATGCTATGATTAAGTATTCTATATAACAAATATCCTGTGTCCATCATAATGTAAACACATATTAAAATAAAATTTATAAGTATGCACATTTATCGCCATTATTGCGATTGAGTATAGATCAAAGTTTTTATTTAATTTATTTTTGTTCTGTGAACAAATTTTTAATAAATAAATATTTTGATGTTATATCTTGGTATATCTATTTACTTGATTATATGATTTAAGAAGATAGCAAAGTGTTAATAAAAACATGTAAACTGACGGTGTAAAAGTCGTGCATTTCTAAAACCATATATAAATATGAAACAAAATTTTTCATGTGATTATGTCATAATTTAGTAATACAGTAATCCAAAGGCACAAATGAAAATATAATAGTTATTTTATAATATTTTCTGTTGTTTTCATTCATATTCCATTATACAAGTGAAGATCCAATATTCAAATTATGACTCTACTAGACAAATAGTCTAAACTTAACATTTTCAATAATATTCCCACTATTTATCAATCAAAATACTAAGTAAATTCAAACTTATCCGCCTAAATCAATGTATTCTTATAAATGTATACTAACTTATAGACTGTAGTCATATACTGAATTTAATATTAAGCAATACAATTATATAGTGTAAAAATAAATATAATTTATAGATCATAAACTGACTTTTTAAATTTATTAGTACTAACTTAGTATTATATTAGCTCCAGTAGTCTTGCGATCGATCTCTTTTGATTGAACAAATAATATTTAAACATAAGAATAAGATTTTAGTAATTATTTTACTATAGATAATTAAATATGTAGTAGTTGTATTGCCTATAGTATAAACAGTTATAGACCTTATAAGTTTGTCCGATGGAAGTTGATTCATACCACTCAATCTGACATATAATCATTAATAATTAATTATATTAATCATTCTAAATTTTATTTATAAATAAGAATTTATCAATTATCATAATTTTAAATTAAAATAAATGAGGACCTTAGATCAAATAATAAAGCACTTGGTATTTAAAACTCCTTACGACTTTGAATGAAAGTTTTTAATTTTGTGTGAAAACAATTTAGTCACATCAATTATTTAACTATGTTTTAACAGAGAGTATTTTAATATCTGAAACGTTTTTATGAATAATAAAATTTTAGTACTAATGAATTTAAAAATATTTTACGTTTGTCATTATTTCTATTAAAACAAATATTGGTGACTTTAGACAAAGTTAAAACACAATAGGC